GGCTCACAGAACAAAGGGTCAATAGCAGCATATGAGGAAGGGAAATGATTGCACCAAGACTTAAACCATAGCATTTGTTTTTTTACTTCCATGAAAACTGAAGGAGCCACAGGGTTCTAAGTGCCTAGTGAGCACAGCACATGGTTACAGATGTGTCAGTGATGATGCTCCAAGTGGGTTCCAGAAGGAATGCAGATGTCTACATGTAAACCCCTGGGAAGTGTGAGGAAGCAGGGAGATGCTGAAAGGAGGTCAGAGGGGGAAGGCAGGCAGGGGTTTGGACCACAAGGGGATTTTCAGCTTCTGTGTCCTGCTAGTAATATTAGTTATAGGTTGTTTAATTTTTTTTTGTTTTTGGTAAGAAGGTTAGACATATTGTTCAATATTTCTGTTATAGGCTGTCAGGTCCCCGTGCATGGAAGGGGTTCAACAAATATATGGTGAAATAACTTGAAGGGGAGTAAGAAAGTCCATTCTCCATGAAACAAATTTGGTGGGGGCATACATGACACAGAAATTTTCTTCCAGAAAGAAGCACCACACTGATTCAGGGGATGTAGATGTTACTCAAATGACTTAAGAAAGGAATTTCCTTTAAAATCAGTTCATAGGCATTGCTGAAAAGTTACGTATTTTCTCAGTTAGATGCTTAGGATAATTAATTACTGATAGTGGAGCTAAATGACTTTTGGATGTTTGGCTTACCTGATTTACCACTATTAATGATAATTTTTAAAAATTTGACCTAGAGTGTCTGCAGACAATTCTGATGAGACAATCTCTGAATATACTGAGTATTTACTATATGTAAATATTTATAAATATAATAAATACATGTACATATTTATTAACTCATTCGATCCTTAAAGTAGCAATATGAAATAAGCATGGGAATTCTTTCCATTTACAGATAAAGAAGCCAAGGCAAAGGTTTTGTAATGTGCCTAGGATCACCAGCTAAGAAGGAGTAGAGCTCATTTGTTTGAGTAATTATAACGCAACTGGAATAAGTACCAGTTTTCATTTCTCTCAAATTACCTTAAAGAGAATTGTATTCCATTCAATTATATGTTGAATTCTGACTTTATTGTTTGTTTGCTTTTGTAAAGGCATATACCTGAGAGTACTTGTACCCATTATTTTATTTAGTTCCTTTCAGAAAATAATTTTACTCTTTTAAGAACAAAGCTATTTGTTGGATGATTTAATAGAGGTTTGCACCTACTCTGTGTGGGATAACGGGAAGTAAAAGACATCATCTCACATCTCTGTTTCTATCTTCTCCTTTGGGGGATTGGTGTTTACATTGTACTATCAAAACGGCACACACATCACAATCATCTATCTGTAGGTAAGCGTTTGTTATTCCCATTTTAGAGAGGGAAAATCCAGGACTCAAATTGGTCAAAGGACTTTGCCTAAACAGCACACCTAGCAAAAGGCCAGGTTCATGTCTGTCATCTTTCCTGTTATACCTCAGTTCCTTTAAGGGTAAGTAGTTTTTATTTGTATTGAAAGAAAAATGAATCATAAATATCCAGATGGGAGAAAGCTGAATTAAAAACAATTTCCCTTAAAGGTGGGTCAAATTGAGTTAAGAATGAAAACTCAAGGTAGGCAAGAGATCCCCAGGCTCCTTTCACTGAATTCAAACCCCAAGATATACATTTAGATTCCAGGGCATGGAAACACAGTGAGTTGTTTTTAGGGCAGGAGATGGGGTGTGGGGAAGCACAGCATAATCCTCAAATAGGGAGAAAAAGATTTTTAAAAATATGTAGATTAGTAATGAAGAAACAAATGCCTGCAGAGTGTCAGTTACCGTTACTAGGATACTCTGAGTGCTTCACTCATTCAATTATTGATAACTACCCAAGTGCTTCACCTCTGCCATGGACCTATGAAATCTGCACAAAAATTCCCTCAGGACTGTTATCATCCTAGCTCTTTACAGGTAAGAAAGTAAAGCTCAAGAACAGTCATGGGGCTTGTATAAGGTAGAATAAGATAGTTCTGGCCTGGGGCCCAAGTCTGCCTGAATTCATGTTCTTTGCTTTTTATGTTACCACATTGCTGTCTCCTAGTAACCTAAAATTTTAGAACCAATTATTTAAACAGATGGGCCAGTAAGAACTTGGAAATTAAGGTGGTAGCCCTAGGTGCCAATGCAAAGAACACGCCAGGGCAAAGTAAACCCATCACTCTCTATAATGGGGCTTCTGATCTGGTAGATCCAGGAAATGCTGCAGACATTCCAGGTCTCTCAAATTCAACATTGCATTACTGGTTTGAGTAGAATAAAAAAAAGAGGCGAGGAAGAAGGCTCAGTTAGGTTTATAAATATAATAAATGAACAAGTGTGATGAATAAGATGTCTAAAGTGTGGATGAGTAACCTCGCTAGAGTGTGGTGACATGCCTCAGAGCTCTTTCCTTGGCCTGGTCTCATTCACATGTTTCTTCACTCACTTACAAGCATTTATTGAATGGCAATGATAATCAGGCTCCATGTCAGATCCAGGGATTTGTGGTGGACACCAAAGTGTGCCCTGTTGATTTCCCTTCCTAAGGTTCCTTGCATAAGCTGCTAGGAGGGATACTGATAGCCTTCAACTGCCAGCACAAGGTCTGCCTCAGCTACAGAAAGCTACCTTGCTCAAGGTCACATCTCTTCCTAGGGTGGCCCCTATGAGAGTTATAACTAATACAGCAGTATAAAGGTTTTTCATCTCAGCCAAACTTAAGGTAACACTGAAGGATCATTTTCGAGCTTCATAGATCTCCTATGATTAGCTCAGGCTGTTGCTGGACATGTTAAACAGTCCAATTTCTGCCTCTGCTCACCCCATCCCATAGGTATTAAGCCCAAGGTCACTCCTTAATAAATATTCTGCACAATAAACTCTGAGTTGGAATCCATCTGCTCCATGGAAAACCAGTTGGCAAAGGAGGAATCTTATCCTTTGTTCATCCTTTGAAGAACAAAATCACAACCAAGGATAAAAAATTACATATTTAGTTTAACAGAAGAAGATCTTTTCTTTCAACAATGAAGCAGTCTGCCTTAAAAGGCACTGTTACTGTTGGAGGGTTATGAATCAACCAAGCAAGATGATACTTGACTGAAATTTGTTTCTGTTCATCCGGCCGTAACCTAACATGTAGCATAGCATCACTACTAGTTAGAAATGAATGATTCCAAATTTCAAAAGAGAATACCTTGGATTCAACTGATTCTGGGAATAACTTTGAATAAAAATCAGGAAAAAAAATCTCATTTCCAAATGAACTCCCCCTAAATAATCTGAGATGACTTAAGACACAGTGACAGAAACTGACAATGTCTTCTAATAGTATTTGTTTGTCTTTTAATAACAGAACCTGAATTTTAAGTTCATATAATCTAAAAACAGATTCCAGAACAGCTCAGAGAAAACTCCTTTTCTTGCTGCACCTTTAGCAACACATTGGGTGGGAGGGATACCTACCAGATGGCTTAGGCACACAGGGTCTTGGACGTGGGGTTCAACAACCTTTCTTAGGTTCAACAAGCTTTCAGCAAATATTCTGGGACTATACTAGTAAGTTCTACTATGTTTCCAGGACTATGCTAGTAAGTGTATTTGTTCATTTAATCCTGTGAACTTGCCTTTTTTCACTCATCCTAGATAATTTCCAAGTGCCCACTGCATTTATTTATACCTTAGAGGGAAGTGAATATCAATGAGTTTCTAGCATTTTTGTGGACCTTTACAATTAAAAAAATGATTCGGTAACTGAAAACCAATTTGAAAGATGTCAGGTGAAAAGTGGAAGTGTGTGTGTTAATACGCCCCTATTACTAGAAATATATTTCTTTCATTTTAAAATCCTTATCTTCCATTGCAGAAGACAAAGAAAACTCATATATTTTATGCTTCTCTTTTTTTGGGCTGTATTTTAAGGTAGCACATGAGTACATGATTAAAAATTACCTGAAGTATCATTTGCTATGGTTGGTTGCTACCAGCAATCATTTTGATTGTCACCCGCAGAAGTGAGGAGGGTTGTTATAAACATATGCTGTAAAGAAGGCATCCTTACAGATGGTCTTCACCCCCAGCTGGTCAAAGTTCATCCTCAAAGGATGCACAACTAGACTCCTTTAGAAAGTCTGAGATATCTCCAGAAGCACCTCCCAACTGTTTAGCATTATTCAACTACTCTGGTGGACACTGCAGGGAGTCAGGAACACATTAGCTGCCAGTCTGAAAGCCCTCATCTACTTTTCACAGCTATTTTTAGATAACAATGGTGGCATTTATCAAACACTATAGAAAAAGTACTAAATGTTGAAAGAATCAAGCAACTAAAGAAATTTAGTAGATGGGATTTGGGGAAAGGAAGCACAGACGGTAGGAAAACACTCATTTGAAAAATATAAACAGGGCAATATTTGTACTTGAAGTATCTTAAAGATGAGAATATTTAAGACAAATTGATCATAAAATATAATGAAGAATATGAGTTTTAAGTTACATCTAGTTACATTATGATATTTATGAATATTTTCTTTTGGAGCACAGCTAGGAAAATGTTTTTCAAAGCCAATTTTTATTAGTTTTCCTTTTGTGTATTTTTTTATGAGAAAAAAGTAAACTAAAATGTGTTTTTAGAAGTCACTATTAGTAAATCTGTGAATGTCATGTTCTTAATTGTTAAAATTTGTTTCAGAAATAAATCTGGATATTTTTCATGACTTTTTTAAAAACATGTTTGCAGGAAAATTAAAGAAAATGTGATTCAATATATTTGTATCATTTTCAAAAATGCAAGAGCTGCAGTATTGAAAGAGCAAAAACTTTCTTAAGCTAGAATGATCTGTTTGAGGCTTATAGACCTCATACAATGGTGACTGCATGAAGCCCTCAATGTAGGGGGTTTATGATGGGCTAAATGCAGACAGGCAGAACACAGCTGTCTGTCCAACCTCACCAAAGCTTGAAATAAAAAGCCACTCACCACTGGTGATGGGGAAAGTGCAATGTTGCCTATCGATGCCTTCAGCTCATCTACAGTTGCCGCATTCTTAAGAATGTCTTTAGATTGCAATGGTTTGATCTTGATATTGAATTTCTTGTGTGATTCTTCTTCCTCTTCCGATTCACTCGAAGAATAAAAGTGCTTTCCTTTGGTAGGTAGAACACAGTTAAAGATACTTAGCGCTTTCTTCTACTGGGAGACATTGATGAGTATAATATGACAAGAGTGATTGCACATAGTCACTACAAAAGTATTCTGAGATGGCAGGAAATCAAAGCAAAACAAACAAAAATAAAAGAGTTAAAAAGTTAGGATTTCTTTACCATTCCTTAGAATATGATCAGAGATCATGAATTTCAAAGAGTACTGATCCATACCCTAATTTTTGCTGTCATCGCTCATGTGTTGTGTCACACTCTGCACACACACAAGCATGCATGAGCTCACTCATTCTCAGAGAAAGACTTCTTTCTTTCTGGATCATCTGTGAAGAGTCTTGGGTGGTGCTTCAGAGTGTGACATGCTTTGCCCAGAGATGAACTGGAGGGGAGAGGACAGTAAGGGCTATTTTCCAGTCAGTATAAATGGCATTGCCATGTCAGATTTTAGCAGACAACCCAGTACCCATAATTCACACGACTTTTTTTTTTTTTTTTAGCACATTTCTTTCGCTTCTCTCTCTTTTCTATTAATAGATCAAGGCAAAATGTCTGCTTGTTAGCAATCAGGCTGTTCTCTGTGCTATTTATTCATTTCTCATATTAGGAATAGTAGCTCAGGTTATTTCATCACCTTTGTAAAACCTGACCTTAGCTTACTGTTTTCTGAGATTCTAAATTAAAATTAAAAAAAAAAAATAAAGAAAGGATATAGCCGGGTTCTTCAGGTCTGATGCTGTAGCCTTCTTCATCCAGCTCAGGTGAATTCTGTAAAATACAAGTATATGTTAAGCAATTATTATTTTGAAATGATAGAGGCACATTTCTCTTCCTAGAGTATTTTTCATATTTTTTCCACATTTTATTGGTGCATTATAATTGTATATAATGATGTGATTTGTTGTTACATATTCATATATGCACACAGTATAGCAATATAATTTGGCCAATATCACTCCCTAGCACTTCCCCTCTCTCTCTCACCGCCTCCCACCCCATGGTCATTTTCCTCCCTTTGATTTTCATGAGATCCCTGCTCTCCTACCTTTCTTTTCCTTTTTTTCTCTCTAGCTTCTGCATTTGAGAGAAAACTTTAACCTTCTGAGTTTGACTTTTTTCACTTAACAAAATATTATCTAGGTCCCTCTATTTTCCTGTAAATGACATAATTTCATTTTTCTTTATGGCTGAATAAAACTCCATTGTATGTATATATATATATATATATATATATATATATATATATATATATATATATATATATATATATATACCACATTTTCTTTATCCATTCATTCACTATCTTTTATGTAAGATAGTCTCTTATTTTAGGGGGCCAAAGGTTTTAACTTCTGGAAGCAAATGCTGAGCAGTATATGTTTATATATTTACTCAAGGATACTTGGTGAATCCTCCTACTGGATAAATAAAAAAAAGGACATTGTCAGTGGAAGAAGACATTCAAAGAGGAACCTATCAAGCATTTCCTGTAAGCTGAGGACTGCTAAGCAACATGGGGAAATCAAAATGCAAATTGTTTGTCCTCAGGGAATTGAAATGATTTGGGTAGGCAACAATTAATGACAATACAAAACACCCGTGTTAGAAGGAAGAGGAAATTAGTGAAGTTTGAAAGCATCAGGCATGAGGTCCACATGTGCCTTCTGAAACAGTTAGGAGGGAGCAGAGAGGGAGCCCCTGTGAAGGTGCAGGAACAGATTATATTGAGACACTGTGGCAGGAAGATGGGGAAGAAAGAGGCAATAGGGGAGATGACAACTGGAGAACAGGTATGCAGCAGGAGACTGGACAATAAGACCACGGGTGGTCAATGTGCCAGGCTGGAGGTTGGACTCTCTAGAGCTGCTGCAGCCTCTCAGGGTGGGACATGCCAAATGCAGAATCTTAAGGTGTTCTGAAAGAATACTTGCAGATAGATTGAGAGCTGAAGAAACTAGAGAAAACTAATTTAAAATACATGCGTCAATGCAGGCAAGATGTGCTGAGGATATGGTTCAAGTTTTGGTGGTGAGATAGGATGCATTAAGGACATCTGAAAGGATCGATTACTAGTTCTTGGTACTAGATCAATCACAGGAGAAAAAGGAGAGGGAAATTCCAGAAGAATCTAAGATTTCTACCCTCTATTCCTGGGAGATTGCTGGTATTCCCAGTTGAACTGGTTCTAATAGCAGACAACCACTACTTTTAGAAAAAGGAAAGATAAAAGGCAGTTTGCAATACTGGGATTAACATTTCATATTTGAGTTCCTATTATATGGTAAATGTGGTGACTCACATTTTATCTCATTGAATGACATAAAAATGACATGTGGAAAAAAAGTATCCCAATAATCAGAAGGAAACTAAGTGAAATCAGAATACCATTTCTCAAAAGCACACACAGCCCATGTCAGACATGGCATTTTGAGACTATGCCCTATGCCCCAGAGGGGCGGAAGATGAGGAGTGCAAGGTAGGCCCTGCTGAGGTTCAGCTTACAGGCCTGGCAGTGACAGAGGAGATTTGGAGATGAGTTTTGCATTTATTGAAGGAATAAAAACATCACGACCATGGAGTGAGAACAGGACCTGAATTCCATGGAAAAAGCCACCATTTTTTAAAGTTGAATTTTTTACTGTATGTGCTTAAGGCATACAACTTGATGCTCTCATACACAGAGTGAAATGATTACTACAGTCAAATTTACATTTCCATCACTTTCCAAAGTTACCCTTTGTGTGTGGGGGTGGGGGTGGAGGTAAGAGCATCTAAAATCTACTATTTTAGCAATTTTCAGTTTATACAATTTGATTAACTACAATCCACATGCTGTACATTAGAGATCTAGACTTACTCATCCTACCTCACTGCAGATTTGTACCTCTTGACCTACTTCCCTCATTTCTTCCCCCTCCCTGCCCCTGGGAACTACCCTTCTCTATTTATTCTCTATTCTTCTATTTATCTGACTTAAGAAAAGATTTTCTGCATATAAGTGATCATAGTATTTTCCTTTCTGTGTCTAAAAGCTGCCCATTTTTGAACACATACTGTGGTTTCCCTGTTGTCCTTCTCCTTCAGTACTCGGAATTACTCTTTTTTTTTTTTAATGCAACTGTAGGGAGGCCATTTCCCTCCTGAAAACCTGTCTCTGACTCCTCACTGCACTTAGCATAAAAACCCAGCATCTCTGTGTATGTAGCCAACAAGACCCAGCATGATTTGCCTCTTGCTCCTCTCTTTAGCCTTAGATACTTCTCCCCCCTACCCGCTGCCCTGCATCCCTCTCCAGCTGCAGTTTTCCCCACTGTCAACATTGGGACTTGAAAGCTGCAAAGCTTTCTCATTTCAGGGTCCTCATGAATGTATTATCCTCTGGTTGGAACTCTCTTCACTGGAAAGTATAGCCACTTATCCTTGACTTGTACTTTAGGCCTTTGCTTAAAGCTTATTCCTTTCTGAGATCTGTCTCAACAAAATTAGGATGATGTAATGTATTAAATAAAATTAACACATTACTAAAATTCTTCCGGGCTGGGGATGTGGCTCAAGCGGTAGCGCGCTCGCCTGGCATGGGTGCGGCCAGGGTTCAATCCTCAGCACCACATACAAAGATGTTGTGTCCGCCAAAAACTAAAAAATAAATATTAAAAGTTCTCTCTCTTTAAAATAAATAAATAAATAAATAAATAAATAAAATTCTTCCTATTTCTTGGAGTAATTGTTCCTATTTCTTGGAGTAATTGCTATGTAATGCACAATTTATTACAACAGCAGTTCCTGTGTGATCTGATTCATTTTCAGACCTAAACGCATTTAAAGGAAGTTATGCTTCATTTAAGTACTTTGTGCCAACCGGGAACAGCACTGGAGTTTAGGGTTTGTTTGCTAGATGGAAGGTCATATGTAAGTATTTGATGAGTTATCTGATATTATAATGATCATTCTTCCTGTTTGTTTTGAGTTAACCATTGAGATATATTAAAGAATTCTATAAAACACAACAAAATTCTTCTAGGTAAGAAGATTTAATTTTGACAGAAGAAATCACTCTAATAGCTTCCCTTATAACTAAATATTTGTCAATGATTTGAAATTAGGATAACTTAGAGGGTGTTAGACATTTTGAGGAATTGAACTGTTAGAAATATTGAAAGGACTTCCAAGAAATCTCCGTACTGCTTTCCATATTGGCTGCACCAATTTGCAGTCCCACCAGCAGTTTATGAGTGTACCTTTTTCCCCACTTCCTTGCCAACACTTATTGTTTGTCTTCATAATAGCTGCCATTCTGACTGGAGTGAGATGATACTCTGGAGTAGTTTTGATTTGCATTTCTCTAATTGCTAGAGATGCTGAATTTTTTCATATTTTTGTTGATTGATTGTATATCCTCTTCTGAGAAGTGTCTGTTCAGGTCCTTGGCCCATTTATTGATTGGGTTATTTGTCTTTTTTTTGGTGCTTAGCATTTTGAGTTCTTTATATACCCTAGAGATTAATGCTCTATCTGATGTGTGAGGGGAAAAAATTTGCTCCCAGGATGTAGGCTCTCTGTTCACCTCAAAGATTTGTTTCTTTTGCTGAGAAGAAACTTTTTAATTTGATTCCATCCCATTTATTGATTCTTGGTTTTAATTCTTGTGCTATAGGAGTCTTATTAAGGAAGTTGGGACCTAATCCCACATGATGAAGATTAGGGCCTACTTTTTTTTTTCTGTTTGACCCCTCTCCTCGGACTATACTCAAAGGACTTAAAAACAGCATACTACAGGGACACAGCCACGCCAATGTTTATAGCAGCAAAATTCACAATAGCTAAACTGTGGAGCCAACCTAGATGAGTAGATTTAAAAAAATGTGGCATATACATACAATGGAATTTTACTCAGCAATAAAAGAGAATAAAATCATGGCATTTGCAGGTAAATGGATGGAGTTGGAGAAGATAATGCTAAGTGGAGTTAGCCAATCTCCAAAAAACAAATGCTGAATGTTTTCTCTGATACAAGGAGGCTGACTCATAGTGGGGTAGGAAGGGGGAGCAAGGGAGGAACAGATGAATTCTAGATAGGAAAGAGGGGTGGAAGGGAAAGGGAGGGGGCAGGGGATTAGCAAGGATGGTGGAATGTGATAGACATCATTATCCAAAGTACATGTATGAAGACACGAATTAGATGTCAATGTACTTTATATACAAAGATATGAAAAATTGTGGTACATATGTGTCATAAGAATTGTAATGCATTTTACTGTAATTTTTTAAAAATCAATTAAAATAAAAGGAAATATCGAAAGGATCTCAATCCTGGGAAAGAAGCCTAAGAGAAGACAGGTAGTATGTTGGCAAGGTGACATGCTTGGACTGCAGAGGGGGAAAGCATAAAGAATTTTATGTCTTGAAGCCTCAGTTTCTCTAAAGTGCAGATAATGTAGCGTTTGCCTTTTAAGGTTGTAAAGATTAATAGCATTTACTATTATAACTGAAACTGAGCATTCAATAACTATAGGCTCATTTATTATAAAAACAAAAGTCTTACTAACAAATATGAAAAAGTTTAAACATGAAGGGTAACTTTCATGAAAGAGAAGATTGGGCTATGACAGTCACAGGATAAGAGCAAGGGCATTTTGTGGGGATCATGAATTTGGGCACCTAATACACAATAGAAATGATCTTCAATGTGAAAACAATTTAAAAGTTCTATCTGATTAGAAATATAGGAGGGATCCTGGCTGGATCCAACAGGTTGTTGTTGTGGAAGTATATGGTTATGATCTTAGTTGGTTTTGGGGGGAATAATGGGGAAACTTTAAGTCTCAGCTGGAATTTACCTTCACCCCGTGAGAAGCAAAAAGTGATTATTATTCACCCTGAGAAAAACTGGTACCAAGAAGCTATAGTATTTGTCATGAAACCAAAATTCAGGGGTTAACTGCCTAGACTTGACCCTCAAAGCTGCTGGGAAATAGAGCCAGGATGGAAACACCAAGAGTTAATATTAGAAAAAGCATTTTTAAAAAATACTTACTGTGAGTTCCATAGGTTACTAAAATGTTCGGCAAATAACTAACTCTTGAATCTTTGATACAAAACTACAAAGTAACTATTATACTGACATCATTTTTTTTTTTTTCCTGGCCAGCACATAACTATTCTATGGCCACATGGAGCTGGTATGTGGAGGGTTTGGCAGACTCTAGTGCTCTTCACCTCCCCACCATCCTAAATGCACCAGGCACTTCCTAATGAGATGGAAAGTCTTTTACTTATTTCTAAGTCCTCTTATAAATATGAGTGTCTCAACTCATTGTAAAGTTGCCGAATGCTTAATAAATAAAAAACAATATTCTGATACTCACATATCTTTCCCAATCGATTTCTGCATAAAATCCATTTGGTGCCCCATTGCTTTTCTTCTGTAATAAATTTGAAAATAAAATTCAGAAGGGAAACATTTAAATGAAAAAAAGAAAAAGAAAACACAATGGAACAAAAACCACTTAACTCTTATCTGTATTTAGCAAGAGCTATCAAAATCCAGCACTGGAAAGACAAATTAGAGCAGCCTATTATGGAAACACATTGATGTAATTGAATGGTTAATTTAGATGCCATGGCACTAGGTAAAAGAGCCTAAATATTTCACAAGATACCTAGGCACAGGGGTATTAGCAACTAGCTATTCAAATTTTATTCAATTACCAAAGGATTAGCAGCACCTACATTATAATTTAATCCTCTATACCTTCAGGGGATATAACCATATACACATATATTTTGAATGGAAACATTTTTATTTCTATGCTGCTCTCATATACAATTAGTTCCAACATATTAAAAGAGTTTTCATCCAACTCATTAATTAATCTTTTAGCATTTCTAACACTGACTCAATTATTTTTTTCTAACAATTCTTTGATAAAGTATAAAGGAAGTCAGCTCCGGATTAGTTAATTCAGCTCCTAGTTATTAAAACTAATGTTGAGATTCTTTTTAAATGGTTCTTCTCATCAAATTATTAAAATAGAATTTGAGGATTAATGGTGAACTTTCCTTATCTATGTGGTCTGTGTCTCCATGAGCACATTTCCTTGCAAGCTGAATGTATATCAGCATTACGCTGTCTCTTGAGTATCTTAAAGTTTTATTTTGGTCCCTAGTACAATCATGACATATGACCACAGGCTCTCAAGCAAGGATCTGGCATCACCCAAAAGGAAATTGCTAAAATTCTCTATTTTTTTTTTTTTTTTGTGAGCAAAAGACAAAAACACAAATCAGGTCAGTAATGGAGGCTCTATCCAAGAACATTCTTGTATTTAGCACACAGAGCGATGGTATATTACTGCGCAATAGCAGATCTCAGAATGACACATCAAATGGCAATGCATGAGGATTGAAGACAGGACCTCTAATTTGCAATCACAAAGGCCACTTGAACTACAGTGAAGCATTGAAACCCAATTTGACAAATAGATGGGAAGTAAGCTTTTCAGGTATACACAGAGGATCACTAGACAACCCAGAATAAAAGTTGTCATTGACTAGCACTTACTGAATGTTGACTGGGCATTCTTAGAATTGGCAGTAATTTAATAAGTGTAAATAGGGTGCAAAGAATAGATGTGTTGGTGACCTCACTCTTTCTACATATGCTAGAATTTACAAATACAAGAACTCTGTCTTGTTTCCATGGACCAGCACCCAGGAACATAGGACATGTGTCTATCTATTTCTTTGTCCTGCTCCTGACAATCTGTGCTTGGACATCATTTCAATCTTCCTATAGAATTGTCTCCATTGAATTGCTGTTTCAGAAATATTCTTTCTACCTTGTACAAAGATCTTTTTAAAAATCTGCCACATTCACTCTGCATATATATACTTTATGAAGATATTGTTGAGAACATAGTCCATTGTGTCACAATAATAAAAATTTTTTCTCTCCCCTGGAAATAAGTCTGGTTCCTATTTTCTTTTTGGCATATGTGATTCTTTTAAAATTCCTTCTTCATCAATTTTTTATATATAATTTAATTGCAAAGTGTTCCATCTCCTTCTTAGAAAGCATATATAAAACCCGAGTTCAATATAGAATTTAATTTATAATGATAGGATATCCAGTGAATTAAGTTGATTCCAGAGGAGTAAACTCATGAATTTTGTGATCAGCATGATACTGATATCAATATACCTTTTAGATTTTAAACCTTTCCTTAGTACAAAGGATTTCTATCTCAATACCAAAGAGATTGGGTAAATTATTGACTTCAAAATCTTCAGTTGTGCAATTCCTTTCCATTAGAATATCATCTCTATAATTAAAGCCTTTCAAATCCAAGACAGTCTATATGTTCAGTGCAACAAATTTCATATCTATTGTTTGTGTGTGTTTATGTGTGTGTGTTTCTTCTTGATAACACATCTAACACTATGTATAAAGAATTTCATGAATTTCTACATTTCGTCTGAGTGGAGAATTCCCAGTTTTCTTGGAAATCAATGGAAGATTGAGCTAAAGGAAAAGCAGAACCTATACATTTTTTTTCCTTTTAAAACAGACCCATTTTAATAACAAATACTAAACACAAACTACAAATCAAAACAATACATTTCTTTTGGGGCACACACACACACACACTCATACACTTGTCTTTATTCGAAGAACTGGTAATTTGGTCTCATTCATGCCAGTTTACTCTCACGAATATCTGTGGTTTTACAAGTGAAAATTACTATGTTAAAGCTAGGCCAGAACCTTCCCGAATTCTTTTGGTTAGACTCCAAGGGGTGGGGGGATCCTTCTTTTCAAATACTAAGCAAGGTACAGCTCATAGTAATGATAATGGTAAAGATGAAATCTATTGATTTCAAATGGAAAACATTGAATAAACAGGGAAGAATATTTTAGGTGGGAAAACATCCTCTGACAATTAGGCCTAATTTTCAAAGCAATATCAGTTATTCACCGACAAACAGTATTTTTTTTTTCTCTCTTGGAGTTGGACTAATATGTTCTTTTACTTCTTCCTCTTCTGTATTTTCTATAATTCCACACCTGACATTAGTAACTTTTATAACTCAAACGTATGACTGCTATTTCAAGATAATTGATGTTCACAAGTATGATAAAGTTGTTTTAATAGGCATTTTACTTTAATGAAGCTTATTATCTATTCTCAGTAATATGATGGGCTAAATCAATGAATATAATAAAAGTTATGTTCAATTATATTCATCAAAGTTCCATTGTGAGTGCCCCTCTTATCTGAGGTCAGCTCATAGCTATGTAGTGATTTTGGGGTGGGAAGTGTTGAAAATGTATGATGTACTACTTAAATATTATCCTTTCCCTATCAAGGTAGGTTTGTAAATGATCCTTTAGGACAGCACTGACCAGTAGAACTCTCTGTGAACTTGGAAATGTTCTATTTATGTGCTGTCAAATATGGTAGTCACTAGACATGAGAGGCTGTGAAGTATTTAAAATGTGTAAGTATGGCTAGGGGCTGAATTCTAGCCAACTAGCCACATGTGGTTACCACATTTGACAACATAGCTATAGTTATTGCATAGCCTGGCCTAGAATCAGCATCTCTGACCCTACATCCTTTAGTCAAGAATACTGGTTCCCACAGGGCAAGGTCCTGCCATATAACTTATATTATTGAGATAGTGCTTATTCTAATAAATGGTGCTACTCAATTTGCATGGTGATGTTTTATTACAGCAAAAGCCTTCTTTATAGATAGAATATTCTTTCAAAATTTGAATTTTAAAATTTGAATCCCTGTCCTTTGTCTATGACAAAGGAAATACAAATATTTTATACCTGATCATTCTTTAAACGAATATTCGGATGTCAATACATAAATTCAATAAGGTTGATTTAAAAATTGAACCCAGGTATTCAAGAAGTCATTTGGAAATACCTAAGAAAGAGTCCTCTTAAGTGGAATAAATAAAAACTATTGTATTTTCCACAATTCAAAGTGGGATTTTACTCACTGTTTCTACAACCCCTTGGAAATTTTAAACTAAAATCTGTTTCCTTACCGAAACTTTTTTTCCTCCTTCACGCGCACACTCTGCTTTGTTATTGTAGGGTGGTTCATGTGGGCTGGGCTGCTGGAATTGATTGTTTTCATGTAGAAAAAAGTTGTTAAAGGATCTGTTTGTTCTTCAAGACACATAAAGAATCACATGGCGTCAGCAAACATACCAGAGGAGAAACAATTTCTAGGCCAAATTGTACGGCCTACCAATCTTGGCAGGGTTCCTTTCTCAAAGAGTGGACTTTGGGGCCCATAATGAGGCTCTATTCAGCAGGCCGGCTTGGCTAGGTCAGGGAAGGGGGAAGGAGGAAGATGTGTCCCAGGTACTAGGGACCATGTGAATCTATTCCTCATTTAGACTTAGTTTACAAATAGAGAACAGACACCAAGACATACAAGAAAAGACGGAATAAAACTGTTGTATATCTACGTATGAAGAGTTTCGCTCCGCCATGTTTTCCCCTGGTCAAAATATTCTTGGGGGTCACCGATACAAACAGCACACACAGTTGACAGTTCCAAATCTGTGCCTTTCCTGCATGCCTGATAGAGATGAGCAGAGAAGATCTCACAGCAAGGGTTGTGACCCTGGAACACTAGTTTATTTGTGAAGAGAAATGGAGACTGTTTGGGAAAAAGTTAGTGAATCCTGTGCCAAGGTCTTGTTGTACACTTCTGTCTGAAGTCTCACCACCATGACAGACAACCTCAGCCAGTGGGCAGCAAGGCAAGCCCACCTTCATATACACAACCCCTTCAAGAAGTGATTAAAAGCATTGCAATCGGTGATGGGCTTCAGTGAAATTGGAGACATTGAAATTAAGTGGGCACTACTAATTAGAGCTTTTGTGCAGGCCCTGTGTTTGCTGAGTAGTTTATAAACACTAGGTGGGCATACCAGCACCTGTAGTTTATTGGAACATGTTAGTGAAACTATAAACTTCAATTTCAGACATTCAAAAGACAATCATTTGGAAGCTGTCTTAGCCATACAAAAGTGGACTGAGTCAGCAGATAAGGAATTGGTTTGAGTTTGAAAGAAAATCAGGTGGAGATGTTTGAGCACTTAATACAAACAGAATCTGAACCCAGTCAGACAGCACTGGTTTTCAAAATTCGGTGGCCAAATTTTGGAAGGAAACTTAACATTTTCATATGGTAAAAGTTGCACTGGGCTAATAACTTCCAGTTATCTATGAAGCTGTACACCTTGGTTCTGAGAAAATGAACTTTTGAATGTAGTCTTGTTCAGAACAGGTCTGTGTTATAACCTGAGAAATTAAATAATTCCTTTCTTTCCAAGTAAGACTGACCAGTGACCTATGACCAATGATATTTGTGGCATTTCTAATTAAGCAATAAAGAGGACAAAATTTCTACTAGATAACTTTATAAAATCTGGAATGGTGTAGGGAAGGAGGGCTTGGGGACCTGGGCATGAAGCCCTGGATTGGGAGATGGGTCCCCCAGAATGAACACTGGCTTCATTAACACAGCACATGTTCAGCTACCTGCTCTGTGCCAGCTGCTGCACCAGGTACCATGGTGTGTGTTTTACTAGAGATTTAAACGGGTGGTTCCCTGAAGAGCAGAGAATAGTGAGGTAGCAATAGGGCCTCAGTGACAATGAGCAGGGCTTTTGGAGAAAGAAAGACAAAGGACAAGACTGAGAGTGACAGAGTGAGAAAAGCAAGAAATAAGCAGTCCAGTCCTGGAGCAGCCAGGATAGAAAGCAGAGTAGCTAACAGAGCCTTGCAGAGGTGGGAGAGGCGTAGACAAGAGGACCCAGGGAGGAGAACCAGCCAGAAGCAAAGAGAAGAAACAGAAGCAAAGAGTACCTGAGACAGAGTTAACGAGAGGGCTCTGAGCCAGAAGCAAGAGGTGAGGAGAAGCTGAGTCTTCTGGGTCTTTTTTTTCCCCTGCTGAATAGAGCCTTGATTATAGTGTTACCCAATGTCTGATCAATTTCTCTCTATTTTTCTTAACATTTCATAGTGAGAACCACATGAATACAAAAGTCATCCCAAAGCTAAGAACCTCAAGTCAAGTGCGGGCGAAAAACTCCTTCTATAGCTGCAATTAGCACCCCAATTTAGGTATAATATCATAAAGGGTGATTTTTAAAAAAAATAAGTTTTTAACCACCAGGTTTATTTTAGCCCACTTCTGCCCAGTGAGCCTAATGTGAGTCCATTTTTTTTTTTTCAGTAACAGCTGTTCTTTTGAACCTTCTGAATAGGCATCTGATTTAGATTTGAAGGAAGTCATTTTAGAAGCTGGGGCAGAATCTCATACAAGCAACTCTGATAAACCCAAGCCCGTGCACCACAGACTTCTTTAAAAAAGCAAGAAATCTTGGCGGCTAGCAAGGAGCCAGAGTTACTATTAAATCTAAACCCAGTGGACACACTTTCCTCTTTCAGGCTGTAAATTCAGGCCTAAGTGGTTTTAAGACCATTTCCTAATTTTGAATTTAACATAGAAAATATATCTGCAGCCCAGCTACGCCAGGGGAAAAGCTTCATTCAGTTTTATTGGATCCCAGCTCCTTTATGACTCTGTGGCCTCTGTTGGAGAAAAACATTCTCACATAATGAGCTTTTACATCATTAAATTGGAAATGAAATAACAGTTGACAGTAGCAGTCCCTGCATGAACTGTCTGGCTTTGGAGCCATCATTTCCATGACTAAGTTTGCTTGCCTGCTCCTTGGCAGGGTTTTAGGTGAATACACCAAATAAATGTAACTTGACCAAGACTACCTGTATGTCTCATGCAATTACTAGAGAAAATTATAACAGTGAGAGGTCAGAAAAGTCTGCCAAGCTATTTTTTTTCCCCTGGGGAGGGGGTGGAGGAGAGAAAAGAAAAATAAATGGAGCTGCAGGAAATTTAAATATAGTATATATTGAAGTGCAAACCATTAAAAATAGTCATTTAAATACTTACAATTCCATCTCGATCTGGTGAACCTCTGTAACAAAAAGAAGTTGATAGTTAGGACTGTGAATCTTTCTGACTACACAGACTAAAGTATCAAGAGTAAGAATCATGAACCAACACCTTCCTGCTCCCCCGTGTCCACCCCAGTAAACCTGTATAAGGAAAACTAAATCAAAACAAATTGGGGGAGTGATATTTGAGAGTGAGGTGTGAGAGAAAGATGGTCATCGAAAACTGAAGCCCAAAGGCACAAGTTGGTGGTGCAGTGCCTTGGCCGAGTTTTGAGAGGAGATTTCATTAGTGTCTGCCCAGTCTTACTTTAAAAGTGTCACATGTAAACCTATGTTCTCTTTCCACCCACTGCAAGTGATCCTGAACTGTCTCTTGCTAGGTGAAACTTCTGAGATATTTTCGAGCTTATTTTGAAAATCTGTATCTTCTCCTCATTTCTGTATTTACATATCTTTTGATTATAGGAGAACAGGAAGGAAGAGCATATTTTACCAAATGGCTCTTTCTGATAACTAAAATCCAGGGAAGCTGTTTTGGGGGACACTCTGCTGAGGTGCTCAGTGCTTTACTGTAAGATGAATCTGTAGGTTTGGATTTCACCATTTCATAGTTCTATGACCTTGAACATGTTACTTAACCTCTTTAAGCTATATTAAGTTTGTGTGTGGGTCTCTATAAATGTATGTATAAAATAAACTTATAATAGTTCTTGACACATTCTAAGTCCTCAAAGGTGTTAGTAGATTATAATAATTTCTTTTCTATTTTATGATGTCTCTTCACCAGGAACACAAAACTGCTCACTTGCAGGCACACTGGAAACTGGGCTGGATGAGCACAAGTAGGGTGAAGCAGAGAGGGTCTCCACTGTCACTTGGTAACTTCTGATATTAATTCCTTGTGTAAGGAGCTTACCAGATTTGTGTTTGGAAAGGAACCTGTATTTTGGGGAAGAAAATCTTAATAAGTACTTGGAGAGAACTGTGACATCTCTAGGAATTTGGTGGGGTTGGAATTGTTCTTGAGAAGGTGGAACCAGCTAAGGAAATTCTTTATTGCTTCATAGGGTGGGACCCATGATGGTGGGGGCGGGGGAGCAGTGGAAAATAGAGAGGGAGAGCTATTAGAAGAGAGAAGACAATTAGACATTTGGGCTCAGATGATTCCCTTCCCCATCAACACCACTTAAAAATGAGTGGAATAGTCCAACTGGATTACAAAACATTTGGTAGCATCATTTTTGATAATTAATTCTCTGTCCAAATAGATGCAGTGGTTAATTCAGTGATACTGGGGCCAAAAGCAAAGAGGACTCAGATGTTGAACGACAATGGGAGTTGATAGAGATCTTGGAGTATTTGGACATTTCCTGGGCATGGGAATTAAATGGTTCAAAGAAATTTCATCTAAAATAGAAAGGCAGAAAAAAAAAATCTCATCTGGCAAAAGTTATAATTCATTGAACAAATATTGGGTACTTAAAATGTACAGGCAAGTGGCTAGGACAATGGGATAAAAATAATGAAAAGACATGCTCAACAAAGAAAGAACAAGGCAGGCAAGTCTATCCAGTGAGTTATGGTGGCCATAATAAGCCCAGAATGGGACAAAAGCAAGAAGACAGAGGCCAACCTGTACTAATCAAAGATTAGTTTCCTTCATATATCTATCTGTGCAAAAATGGGCATTTCCTGTTAGGATTTCAACCCCTGCCAAGTGAGCTGGGAAAGAGGTGGTTGCATCAATGACTTCAGGACATATTCAGAGGTACTGATTCTATAGAAGTGCCTTTGGGGACAGTCAGCAATAGATGTAGAGAAGAGAAGCCTTTGGAGATTGGCTTGGCTGTGGTGGTGCCCATTATCACATCACTAGGGGATATTAAGTGGGAAGCCACCTGATCTGTGCCTACGGTAGTTATTGGAATGGTATTTCAAATTTTTAACCAGAAAGACTGTATTGTACATAACAACATTGGAGTCTGATTTTAATGCATTGTTTCATCAGTCGATGCACATGGGCGGGTGTTTTCTCTCATGGAAGAGTAAATATAGTAACTAAGAGGACCAGCTCTAGGGCTGGACTACTTGGGTACAACCAAAGTAGATTTCCCAGCTATAGAAACTCAGGCAAGTTACTTCACCCCTTTGTGTCTTGATTTCCCTATCTAGAAATGGCATGTATCCCACAGGACTACAGGAGGAGCCAATAGGTTAATAAAAGTGAAAAGTCTGAAACAGTGCCTAGATCACAGTGAATATTCATTAAAGTTTATCTTAAAGAATAATTATTACACAATCTCTTCCAGGATGGGGAAAGATTTTAACTGCCTCAGATACTTGGTGTATGTTGTAAATTCATTTCCTTCATTTTTTGAAGTCTTTAATTTTATTTTAACATAGTATTTTTCTTTTTAATGACAGACCCATTATATTTACGGGTATCTATTTTCAAGCTAGTCATCCACTGTGGACCGTTGGCCTCTTGTTTTAGAAGTTTTGGTGACTTCTTGAAACTCTACCATTTGTCTTTCACCCTCCTGTCTGGGTGTTAGGGTTTGGAAGTGAGATATCCCCCAAGATCACATGCGAGACAATATAAGAAGGTTCAGAGAAGATTGGGTTGTGAGAGTCTTAATCCATCAGTGAATTAATCCCTTGATAGGGATTAACTGAGAGGTAACTGAAATGGAGGTGGACATTGCGGGTGTCTTTGGGGTATACAAAATATCTGGCAAGTGGAGTCTCTCTTTCGCTCTGCTTTCTGGTCAGTATGTGAGCTGCCTCCCTCTTCCACACCATGATGTCCTGCCTTACCTCGAATCCTGAGGAATGGAGCCTGTCGTCTATGGGTTGAGACCTCGGAAACTGTGAGCCCCTAAATAAACCTTTCCTCCCCTACAATTGTTCTGGTTGGGTCCTTTAGTCATAGCAGCGAAAAAGCTGATTAAAACACTGGGTTACAACCTCGCCCACCCACACCTCTTCTTCTGGATGACCAGTGCACAGGCACTGATTACTGGACTAGGATACTAGTTCCAAGCCTTATTTTCTGCCTAACCTTTAGCAGGTTACTTAACCCTTTTTGGAATTGATTTCTCATCCCTAGAACTGAGATATTACTATTAATCCTATTGAATTACTGCGAGGATTAAAAAGGATATCAGTGCAACAAAATATCCTGCACAGGGCCTTCCACTTAGCACAGGCTCTCTATCTTCCTCTACCAGTCACTGTAATGATGATCAAATCAGGAAGCTCTGGTCCTTACCCCACTCTTTATCTACAGAGGTTCAATCAGCTGTAGTTGGAGCTGGCAGCTACCCTAGCAGGTTGCTTAGCAACGCCAGTGAATTGCAACAGCCCTGAAAACAGTTTGCATCCACAAGGTCTCAATGAGTGCAGTCTAACATAAGCATTAACAAAAGCTGAAGGGACAGCAAATTGCCAGAGCATTTTACCAACCCCTTTGCAATTATGATTCATTTTCCAAAAATGATATGAGATCCAATTAGAGAATGGGGGAGGGTAGTTCATGGAAAAAAAAAAAAACAACAAAACCAAACAGCTTGTCCTTGGACCAATCACCAATGGGAGAACCAATTTACAACTAATTTGCTATCCCGTAAGTAATTTGGGCACTCAAATGATAAGAAGTTAAGAAGAGATGCTTGGGATTCTCTAAACAAATGTTTCATTAAAGTACCACAGAGAGATATTGGGCGTCCACCCAAAGCCATGGGGAATAACTTACTCATCTTCGTAGCTTTGGTATTGGAGATGGAAGAACAGTGCTTTGGCCACCAGTAAATTAGCTCAGCTGACCCCAGGGAGGTTACTTAACCTCTTCTTTTCCTTTCAGGAAAGCTTTTTAGCTTTCTTCACACACCAGAAATCTCTGGTGCACTTATCGACACTATTTTCATAGAAAATTAGTTGGCTTCTGCTATAATGTCCTCCTGAGATGCATGCAGCAGTGTCCCACACAACAGGTGGCACACTGTAGGTGTCAACAGATTGCCGATATGCTGGTGGGGTATCTGGCCTTTAGGGAAACCTGATTTCATCTAGTGTACACTTTTTTCTTTCTTTTTTTTTTTTTAAACATGTGAGGAAACTAGGCCCTGAGAGGGAAAATGTAATTTCGAAGGCTGTTGAATTATGGGCAGAACTGGTGTAAGAGCCCAGAGGTTCCAACCCTAGCAAAGGGACCAGCACTTATTCTGCAAGGTTAATCTTTAGGAAAATGACAAATGTATTCAGAAACAATGCAAATATGATCCTGAAAAAATATTATAACTCAATAATTTAGAAAAAAAATTCTGTAAATGTAATTTTCAGGAAATATTTACCCAAAGAGAAAATATAAAAAAAGAGAGTTGACATTTGGCATCTGGGCAAAACACAAAACAATAAAACAACAACAACAACATTTCTCCTCCCAATCCTTCACATTGTTCACCTTAAAAATGTTCAGGTCTTCTTACCTACTAGGGAAGAATGGAAGTCCAGATACCTCAGCCTGGCACTTGAGGCCCTTCCTATCTGGAACTCATCTCCTTCCCAGCGTTGCCTCCCATTATCACCTTTACCTATAGCTTAGGGAGACACCTTGCCCCACTTACCTGGTCCTGGATGCCTACCGGACTTTCCCACCTGTCTACCTTTGCTTTTGTGGCTCCCTTTGCCTGAAATGCATGTCCTCCTCCTGAAGGCCAAACTGAGGACTCCTCCTGCCTTGAAGCATCATAGATCCCCAGTCCAAATGTAAACTTTCTCACCTTCAAATTCCCATGAAATTCCATTTCAATTGCTCACAAGGAACTTATTACTATTGATTTATATCAGTAGTGATAAGAATAGTAGCAGCCGTCATTTACGGAGCATTTGTAAAATACTAAGTACTAGTAGGCATTTCAAATATTATCTCATTTAGTTGTAGGAAAGATGATTTAATTCATATAGTCAGTATTTTATCCGTGAATTACAAGTTTGTGGAGGACAAGGGCACAGGGAAATACTGAGCACCTTGTGAGAAAATTTATGCACACACACAAAATGCCCAGAAAATCAACGTGGCCGCCTTCATTTTCACCTCTACCCGTACCACCTTGATTTTTCCATTTTCTAACGTTCTCTCAGGGAATATAGCCAAATGAGGGGTTTAAGAGCTCCATTCTGCTACTCAGCAGACCACCCCAGATCTCTTCCACCTGGTCACAGCCAGCCACAGCTGAGTCACGATTCTCTCCTTATGGGGATATTTCACTGGAATGCTGAGTTCTGGCCAGCTAACCTCATGTATGGAGTTATCTGCCTGGCTCAGAAGGACATCTGAGATTTTTGTATCAGAGTCAAATACTTTTGAAAAAGAATTCCAGATGGTCAAATAACTAAACATAGAATGAAACTGCTATTTATTGATGTTTTCAAGGGCCCATCAGTGTCCATGGGCAATCAATTCTCTTGAATAAGACCATTTAAACACATAAAAGCATCCCTGTCATTGTTTCTGGCATTAGTTGCTTATTCACAGGCAAATATCCTATCACTCCTGTGAATTCTGTTGGCTGATTTATGATTCTGCTTGTACAAAATCTTGGCACCTCAAGTAAGAGCTTTAGGATGGCATGTAGTACACATTTCTGTCTTTGGCTAGGACTAATCTAGCTAAACAGGTGCTTTGTTGTTTCTTCCATTCAGATATTAGGAGCAACCCTAGAAGTAGAAATGAGTGCTTCTAGGTCCCCACAAAACCATCAGTCATACTTTGTGCTTCCCAGGACTGCTGGCAAGCAAGGCTACCAGGTGGTTTAAAAAAAAAGAGAGAGAGAGAGAGAGAGAGAGAGAGAGAGAGATGAAAAACTGAACATATGATGACAATTTTTCACCTTTTTTAGCACAAATCTAATAACTAACTAATTATGCTGAAAAACTACAGTTTCCCATAAATGGGGAGAACAAAGAAAACTACAGGATATTCAAGGAAACTCTGCGGCAATCTTTGAGTGACAGCAGCACCCTGACAGTTCGCTTGCAGAGGCATGACGCTCTTAGAGTACATACGTAGAATCAGTGTCCTTTTCTTTCTTCCGTATTCCAAAGGCCTTCCTTGTACGTTTTTTCAATCCTGTGGGGAAACAGGAAAGGGTCAAAGAGTTCTATTGCAGCACAAGTAAACTTAGTTTGGAAGTTGCATCAGCTGTTAAACTTGCATGTTCAAAAGCAAGTTTATGTATGTGTTTGTGCATATATACATGACTCATTATTACATTTTCCATAGATGTTTATCAGAACTTGGCACTGTAAATTCGTAGCACTACAAGCAACATAAGGACGTATGGGTATGGAGAGAATTGCAAGCTTTTCTTAGACTACTGTTATTCATCACCTAGATTGAGGCTCTGTCAAAAAAACTGAATCACAGATTTAGAATAGCCATTTCCAGGTTGGACATATTCTTGAGACTGAGATCATACTAAGAAATGGCTCATGTGAACTCTACCAAGAGAACTATATTGACCTGACACAACTCTATATTTCTATCTCATTCTTTCCTAGGTCTTCCATTTTTTTTTTCAAGGCTAGATTGGATTATTAACCATTCTCTGAACATACCTCAACATTAGTACCAGTGTCTCTTCCTTGTGTACAAGATCCTTACCTCTGGTTGAGATTTTAATTCTTTAAGGCCCAAGCCACATGCTACATCATCTGTGAGGGCCTCTCAACCCTAGTGGTGGAAGACAGTGACTATTCTGGGCTCTTCTACCAGAATGTTGTTAATATACGTTATATCAAATGTCACCACTCATTAGTTACTACCTCAGTTTCTGCGATAAACCAAGCCTTTCTAGGATAGAGGCCAATGCCTCCTTATTTCTCTTACATCTCATACTGGTACCAGATAATATTTATTGATTATAAGTGTTCCAAGAAGCACCATTCAGGCAGCAGTAGGGTAAAAATTCCCCTTTCTTCTATCTTGACAAACCAAACCCAGTCTTGGGTCTCTGCTCTTATTTAGTCAAGGCTCTGTCTGAGCTTCCCATCTCCTGCACGTTGCCAGCAATCATGTGGCCTGTGTTACTTATGTTAGGGAATATTTTTCAAATATACTAAATGCCAATGTTGATTTGAAAAGTTGGAGGTAGAAAACTCACTGACGCTTTGGGATTTGTTTGGCACTACCAGGTGGAACAAAGGGAAAAACACTGACAGAATCAGGGATTTGATGACACCTTCTTCCAAAACATGTGAGTCAGCCCAAATCGCTCAGATTATCTGAGTCATTTATTATCTGCCTCTTAGGATACTGCTCAAATATGATCTCCAAAATGTCTCTGTGCAGTCTAATTTTGCATTGTAATAAACATACCATTTAAGACACTTAGGTCTTTAAAATGTCAGTATTTATTTATTTATTTTTAAAAATCTCCTCCCATATGGAACTATTTTCTATTATTCTTCAAATGATGAGTTTATAGGAAAACTTATTGACATTTAAAACTATCTACCCATAATATTTAGGGATACAGTCTCTCCCCCTTTCATTTAAAGTTTTATTGTTTAAACCTTTTACTTCTCTCTCACCTCCAATGGTTGTATTTTCTTATAGGGAAAAAAAATATCATAGTCACATTGTTTTCTTCCTACAATTTTCCTTGGATTTCTACTCTCCTAAATGATTTCTCTATGCTTCCAGTTTAGCTTTGTTTCACAATAAATGCTGTATTCACAAATCATTACTGGTGATTTTAAGACCACAAAACTAATCTTGTTTTTATCTTTTGCTTTCAAGTTCTTGATTTCTGGGAGCCCAGTCTTTAAGAGATAGCATACCCTACCAAACAGATTAGAAAATACACACAAATTTCAGTAATTATTGTATTAAATTAGCAACAGAATAGGCTATAGTAGTTTTCCAGAGATCCTATCCTGCTTTTGACCACCATATCTGGATAACAAACAACAGGAATTAAAAAACATAACGAGTTATCCATTTTCCAGTAAAAAGTACATTGTATCCGAAGTTAGGAGACGTAAAAACCATTCACAACATCATTTCTAATCACACAGCTTAATACAAATTACATTCTGTTTGTGTTTCAACCTCTTGGCCCATATATACCAAATCAGCCAGTAATGAGATAAAAGAATTTGCTTACTTTCATAAAATGCTATGTCAATTTGTAAGTATAGTTTCACTGAAAGTCATGTTTCTAATACATAGAATACACTTATACATGGAATATAAGTAGAAATATATCATATATGTGAAATTCCAGAAAAAAATGCAAATCAAATTGTTTAATAAGAAAAAGCATTGATCAAATTATCCCCCAGGAAAAGTGGAAAGATTTGAGAAGTCTGAAGTATGGAAAAGTATGAAGAAAACCAAAAGATTACAGCAAATGAAGTTATAAAGTATACGTTGTTCTTATTATAACCGTTTTTTTTCAGAAAATTTTAGAAGAAGCAATCACACTTTCTGTTAAAAGTGAATGGAGAAGGATGACTATGTCTTTTGAGAGTTTATAAGAAAAAATATTCAAAGTAACTTTTCAAAAAGGAGAAATGATATTTAAAGATACTCTAAAAATAACAAGTTTCAGACACTCGTCTGATAATCTGATAAGCTTAAAAAACACTTTATCCAGTGATTCCCACTTTTGATTCCATAACTACATGAAGACTGTAATATTAATTTCTGCAGTTGAATTGTTTATAGCATAGATTTTGGTCACCTATTCTTTACTGAGAATGGGAGGGTAAAAATTAAGTGTTTTTGAAAAATGAAAGGACTTTTCCCTGCCAATATCAAAACAAAGATCCAAAGGGAGAGAATTCTGTTACACTGATAATGAAGGGCTAGCATGGTTCTGGCTGAGTCCTAAACAGGAGATAACTGAGGGGGTGGCATCCTGTAAGCATAAGGTGAGGACCATCCACATAGAAGATGCCTAGAAGTGTAGGTGGAGGATCCCACCAAGAAGCCCCTCTTCCTCTCTGTGTCCTCGACTCCTTCCTTTCCATTGTTAGCTGGTAAGATGACATGGAGGAGAGGTCACATGTGGAATGGTTATCTCCCTAACATCTTGGCAGCAATTAGTTTATCACAGAGCCATTTTAAACAGACTAGGCTAGGAAGAGATGAAAGGAAGAGTTAAGGAGAAAGCCTGGTTCTAACACTGGAGGTGGGTGGAGGTAGGTGGTGACTGGTGCTGGCTGTGTCTTTGATTGTTGGGGGGCAGCCTTTTGAAGATGCTGTTTCTGCCTGTTCTGCTTACTCATTTCACAGCCTGGCTTACACATTGCTTTGTCTAATTGCTGATGTTAAACACGCATGTAAACTACCTTTAAGATCCTTAAGAAAGCGCCACTTTGGGGGAATCACATTTCTGGATCACTTCTCCTCCCCACACTGTGCTTCTGAGCCGAGCTAGACAAGGCAAGGACTAGGAACAAAGCCAGCTCCTCAGTGACCTAGAGCTCTGGAGGAAGAGGAGCAGCTTTGGGAAGAGGCGGTAAGGTTGGGGTTTAGGGTCAGTACAGAGACACAGTTAATAAGGAATCTAATGCATCTCATGCATGTCTTCCCACATAATACTCCCCCAAAACAGAAGTAGGAAGACAGCAGAGAAGGATGAAAAATGTATGGCTGTCTTTGGCATTCAAAGATCTGGGTTCAAATCCTAATTTGACTACGTGAAGACTCTCATTTGCAGCAACATAGAGAATCTAAGTACTGTGCTACTTTACAAACACAGTCCATCTCCTTGCTGGACATGAGATTTGGAGAGGCAGTGTCAGTTTGTCTCTCTGTAATTATTAGGAGTGAGGGGAAGACAGTTCCTGTTTATGGAGTACTCTGTGTCAGCCACTGTGCCAAGCACTGGGCATAGATAGGCTAATTCTTTCAACAACCCCAGAAGGTAACTGACTCCCTATTTAGGGATTATGAAACAGACTCAAAGTGAGTATGTTCTTCTTCTGAAATCATTAAAGAAACATAAGAGACCAAGATTTTGAGACAAAGTCTGTTTGCTTCACAAGTCAACCAACTTCTCGCAGAGTGATCCTGATGACTATTGCAGCACCCAGAGCTGTGCCCAGTTCAACAGGCACATCACCCAATTCTTGCTTGTTTAACTATTTTATTTTAAAAAGTCAGTGAGTATTTGTATAATTGTTAAAAGAAAAAATGAGTTGTCCTGATTTTTGCAATCTGCATTCCATTGAGATTCAGTTTTTTTTGGCATCCACTTTTGTATTTTGGAAGTATGAGGGAAGGAGAAGGAGCCTCCAGCTGCACAAGATGGACCTGTCTGAATGCATGGGAGAGGCTCAGGGTAAAGGGCATACTGTGACCTCATTACATGTGCACAATGGTACATTGAAAAACTGAGTTCAGCCCAAAACACATCATAAAAATGAATAGGGACAATTTATTGAGTATTTATATTTCAGGAAATTTTCCAGAAACTTCCTTATCTTGGCCTAACACAATGCTATAAGGTGGGAGCTATTATCATATAGATTGTATAGCATGGGGCATGAGAAATAGCTGGCGCCAGGTCACACAGGCAGTAACTGGCAGACAACATTCCAAAACCCCGTCTGACTCCAGAGTCCAGATTCCTCATGCCTTTAGAGTATCTTATTATCACAATTCATTTTGCCTTCTTATTAAAAACAACCCCTTCCCATGTGATTTTTTTTTAATGAAAAGTGGTTTTTTTTTTTTTTTTTTGTCAAATTAGGTTGCACATTTATTAAACACAAGAACTGTACTTTGCATGTTCAAACCTCTGTATGCTTCCTGGTGAACATAAGGTAAACTAATAAATGTTTGCTAAATAGATTATTTCTATAATAAATGTAAGTTTTCAACTTGAGTCTTCATCCACTTAGAGGGTTACTTAAAGGTGAATCACATGTAATGGAATTACTTATTTTCTGCATAAATTCAGGCCAAACATTTAGTCTTAGTAATGAAAAACAGGCAAATTTAATTGCCCTGGGCATAATGCCGCATATTGACAGCAACTCCAGACTGGCAAGGTCTATTCATTATGATGGTCACTGTATTTCTGTCAGGAAGGATTAAGGTTCTTCACATATCAGTGT